TCAGCAACTGTTCTGATTAAGAGTACACCTACGAATGACTTGAAAATAAATGAAAGCAAAAGTTAAGTAATTTTATTTGTTAATAATTTTTATTGTTAATAATTCCTTCTTTGAAATAAGTAACTCTTAAAATTGTTGCCATATCGAAATTGCAAGTTTTTTTTTTTTAATCATTAGTTGTAACTGCTCTTATAACCATTAGAAATATTAGCACACAAGTTTCCTGCAGAAATTGCTCTTATTAACATTAAAAATGTTCGCATACAGGTTTCCTACAGAAATTTTTAGGCACAATGATCAATTTATTCGTTAGCCGCTACCAGGAGTGATTTGATGCGATTGCTATTTTATTCTTATTTTCTTCTTTTCATTAAGTAATTACGTACAAAAGTGCATTCATTCTTTGAGGAGAAATGCTGAGTTGAATCGAGTTGAGCGCATAAGAGTACAAAAGACAACGACGCAAAAGCAAAAACATATGTAAAAAAAACACAAATTTGCAAAAACAACTGTGTTGTTTTGTGTATTATAGAAGTTTCTTTTTAAGTAGTTAGTAAGAAATAATAAACTGTTCTTTACAAGTGAATTATAATTGATATTTCGTTAACTAATCTTAGTGTGTGTGATAATTAGGATGATTAGCAAATAATCAATAAGAATATTTTTAAAATCTGATTAAATTAATTTACTGAACTATATTGACAATTTTTTAAATAAATTATATATGTATATTATCAAATCAAGCAATTAGAATATTTTCAAATTCTGATTAAAATAAGTGCTAAACAGTGCTAAACAGTGCTAAAAAAAGTTTAAGGCCAACATCAATTTCGAACTGCAATATCAGAATGTATGAAAATGTTTTGATTAAACAATTTTTTGTTTCAAGTATATGCATATAATGTGTATAACTTTGTCATTATATGGGTGTTCTACATAACTTAAATGGGAACAAACTAGAACCTTATAAACAAATATTGAGCGAGGACTGATAAGTCGTAAATAAGTATAATGTCTGATTATAATATTCAGAGTTATAATGAAGTTATAATATAACTCCAAGATATACAAGAAACTTGATTTATTAAATGGTAAAATTTTGGAATGATATATATAATTTTGCAAGTGCCTTAGTACAAGGAGAGAGCATCCAAGTGAATTTTAAGTATATCTCTAATTCTGTATGTAGAATTGGATCTCATACAAGTAAGACAATTGTCAGCATAACTAATGTAATGCTAAAAACTTAGCAATTAATAAATCTTAGAATACAGACGGCTACTATATAGGAAATATAGTAGCCGTCAATATTATTAATAAAACTTAAAATACAGGCGACTACTATATAGGAAAGTTTCTGTACTTAAAAGAGACCCACAACAAGCGTTGACCAGATTATCTTCAAGCTAGAACGGAGCTATACTGGAATAAGGTATATATGGAAGATTACAGCCACATAACTCATAGATTCTGCAGTTGAAACCTCATTCCAGTAATGAAAGGCAAAAAGGAGGATAGATAGGTTTACTGTTTGACAAGCTAAATTTAACAAAGCCAGAAAAACTACGTGGAAATGATTTCGAGTGAAGAGTGTTTATAGATGATGGAAACTTTCGGGAAGTATAAGCTAGGAGTAAACTCTATAGTCGGAGTGATTACGACCCAGGTTGTAGAACGGAATGGGCAAGCAAGGTATGGGATGTATTGCTGTCTCTATTTCAACTTGGACTTAGGTCACGTAAGGCTCCAAGTTAATGAGAAATAAATTTTACTTTAAATATCTCTTTATTAATTATTCACATTTCAGTTATTAATCTGGCAACGAATGACAGCGGCATATAGAAGCATCAATAAACAGCAATTTTGTCTTCGTTAATAATATTATCGCAACAATTACAACAATAAGAACAAATAAAAACATTAAAACAATGCAGTTTTAATTTAAATGCTCGTTTGTGTTTTTTGTTATTTAAGCTTTGTTTTTGTTTTGAATTGCAATTTTTTTTAATTGACAGTCAAGTTCTGTGCTCATATTAATTTTCGCATTTGGGTTTATAATTATTTCCTTTTTTCTAACACAAAAAAAAAACAAAAAATATTCACATTTATTTCTTTACATTGCAATTTTGCAATTATTTATTTCGCAAGTCTGTGATTTGCTTTGTGTTGCAACAACCTCAATCCGCCTGAATCCACCTCAGCCCCCACGAAATCACTCGAGTGTGAGCTACTGTCACACAAAACAGCATCTTCAAGATATTTTTAATCAACGCTTTGATTGTTTGCTTCTGGTTTTGTTTATTATTAATTATTATATAACGGAATGGCGGGGAGTGAGGACCGAGGCCTGAGCAACGTAACAAATGGAAGCAGCATTGAAGGCAGAAGCTGCAGAAAGATTTACTCCGTTTTCAATCCTGCAGATATTTTTGCTTTGGTTCACTAATGAACATTAATACATACCTCGACGATTGAAGTCCTTTTGTAAGTTAGTCTTAAAAGAGCCAATTTAAATTCTTTAAATGAGAAAAATTCAAGTTTTTTTTTTAAGACTAATTAAAAAGTTACTTTTATTTTAAAGAAAATCAAGACAATAATATATATTATTTTGCTTCAAATCCCATTTTATTTTATTTCATTTTTTTTAATTTAATTTTATTTTGCATTGTTCAATTTTCTTTTATTTTATTTCACTTTATTTTATTTAATTTAATTTTATATGATTTTTTTTAATTTTACTCTTTTTTTTATTTTGATTTTAATTTTATTTTTTTTTGTTTAACTTTAATTTTATTTTATTTATTTTTACTCTCTTAAATTTTTTTTTTTTGTGATAATTTAATTTTATTTCATTTTATTTTATTTTATTTTATTTTATTTAATTTTATTTTATGTTATTGTATTTCATTTTATTTAATTTTACTCTATTAATTTTTTTTTGTTAATTTAAGTTTATATCATTTTATTTTGTTTTATATCAAATACTAAATTTTATTTTATCTAATTTTATTTAATTTTATTTCATATTATTTATTTCTTATATTTATTAATTTATTTGATTTATAAATTTATTTTATCTAATTTTATTTAATTTTAATATTTTTATTTATATTTTATTTAATTTGATTTGATTTTAATATTTTATTCTATTCTTTTTATATTATTTTATTTTAATTTATTCTATTTTATATAATTTTATTTTACTTTGTTTCATTTTATCTAGTTATATAGAAGACCTAAGGTACCCAGTCTGTGTTAGTTCACAGTTGTCTCAATTGCCTTATAAGTATACGCTTAAGTATTACACAAGCTAATATCTGCTATACTGTAACTAAAAAAAGGTCTGTTTAATATCCCCAGTTACATATGAATCCCAGAATTTCTTGAAAATTTTATAAAAATGTTAAAAATATTCCCACTATTTGCACTTATAATCGAAATTATAGTTGCTTGAGCGAAATCTTAGTAATACTAAGACTGATTATAACTTAAGCCATATAACGTTTAATACTAAAACCCGTCGTGACTTACAGAGTATAATATTAAAACACTACAAGTGGTTTTAACTTAGAAAAGTGAAGACTCCGTTTCAAAATGGGTTAGAGTATTGTCAAAACTTCATATTATTTATCAAATTACTTATATATTAGAACCCTAACATAACACTTGTAAAAAAGAATGACCTACGTAGGTAAGTCCACTATAAACTCAAAGGTATAGATAGATATACATATATATGAGCTAGCTGTAAACATTTTGAGCAATAAGCGGTCTTAAAAAGTTTGTAAAAGTCTTATATTTCAGACCCATTAATTAGAATTTAAATAAGACATTATGTATTATGTCGCCAATAAAGCTTTAATGAACACTATCCTATGACAATCTCAAGGAAGAATATTGTAACTTTAGTAATTAAGTTTTTCGGATGTTAAAAATAAAATTTTCCAATTATATTAGTCTTCCAAGTTAAGTAGGAAAATTATAACCTGACTTATTTGGATAAAAAATCAGTTTTTTTAAAATTTGGTCTTAAGTTGGCAACACTGTTTATAGTAATAACCGTTTTGACAGTTGATTTATATTCGCTATAGTTTGTTTAATGCAATGTAAATAGACTCTGATATGATGATAGACTTTTGGCCTGGTAAGGTATTAACCCAACATTTTTTGTAGAGGTTTTGACATTTATAAGTCTTAAAAATTTGGGCGATCAATGTGCTATGAGTCCAAATGCATTTTTTGCTTTCCAATCAAACGGCTTTAAATTTGATATTTGATAATAAATTACTATATTGCCAATACGTAAAACACTTAATAAACCTTTTATTCAAGTAATGTTCGTGTGAACTGGATTCCATAAGCTTTATTGGATCAAATCGAAGAGATTACACTGCCTTCCTCGGTCTTTGGCGACTCATTACCATTAATTTAAATAGTTTCATAAAATATCAATGTATTTTGTAGCATGAATTTTAAACAATTTTAAAATCCTTGGTTACTCTGTACGATCAATTGTAATGGTAATACAATGGATCGATGTATTTTGAAACAATAATGGCCAATAACTTCGCCAATAATAGATATTATCTCCAAAAGAGGTTAAGTTTCACATTATAAGATTTAACAAATAAATCCAGGAAAACACTTCCGTCAGGAAGCAATGATCTATTGGTCAACAAGAATAAAAGAACTGTTTCATTTAGTCAATCCAATAGAATATATATATAGCTTGACATCGAACAGCAGTCACTGCCATTGCAAAAGCGAAAAAAATTTCTTCTTTGACCTATAGATGCACTATCAAAAGGTTAAAAAAAAATAATTGTGATGGACTAGAGAAGAAGTCAATCATAAAAAATAAATTAGTTTAATAATGATCCATATTTACTTCTCATACATTAATGCAATGCAAATAGTATGATTATTAATTCTAAAATTGTTTATATTAATAAAAAAAAAAGCAGACCATGGATACAATTAATGAGAGATATATGGTACCAGTCTCAATTTCATAGTAGTTTATTTTATAATAATATAAAATAACATAGTTTATATAATTTCAAATGGAAATTTTAATAATAGCTCCACTAAATCAGCAACGATATAGTCAGTTAATGTCAGCAGTCCCCGCAAATCGAACTGGTCCAAAAAAAGGCGATACGGTGGTCTGCAATTAGTTTGTAGTTTTCTATACTTTTACAATATTTAAATGTCTAATGTTTTAGTTATTTTAAAGATATATAAAACTTACATGTATAGCATATAAACGAAGGTATTTCATGATCCTAAATCCTATAAAATTATCTGTTATATTCTTTTAGAAGTATTCTTACCATCGTTAAAAACGATATATGATATTTGATTTAAGTTAAAGTTATATTATTTGATATTCTAAACTGAAAAAAATATTTATATATTATTATAAATATCTATTAAATAAAATTTTTCCTTGCCTTTTTTTAATGATACTCTTTTTCGCCTCCTAAGTTCCTAGCTGCAGGATTTCAAGTGGTTGCTGCCCAATGCATAATTGTGGGGTGATTAACCCAGTATGCGCACTCAATGAAAGTTGCGTCCTGATAAATGTTCAGTTTGTAGAAGAGCATTACATCCATTTCAGTGCAGAAAATATGACCCAGCTTCTTACATCCTCCTGCAGGGCGGTGAAAAAAATACACTTCCTTCATTTTCGGTTTCATCGAAGCCATCACAATTATTAGAAGGTCGGATGGTACCAGCTTTCGATGCAACTTGCGTAAAAAGCTGCCGAAAGTACTAGAGTAAAAAATTCGTTTGCTTCTTCGACGTGTTAAAGTGTTTAATTTCTTTTGAGGCATTGTTGATTTCTTAATGATCCAACAAATACTCAAATGTATTTCGGATACAAAGTAGAGCTATGTATACTAACAAATAGTATTTGACTTTTAATAAAATAGGAAATTTTTTCAAATCTGGCTTGCTTTTTTAAAATTATATATAGTAATAGACAGTAATAGTAGTAAAATTTAAAAGTTATTTATTGACTAATTGATATCAAGACTTGCAACTGAATTAATTATTTAAAATTGGTTTCATCAAGATAATATATATTATAAAAAGCGTAACTTGTGTTTCTTTTGGGATACATATCTACCATTAAGCATAGTACTAATGATTATTTATACTTAGAAAGAAAGTTGATGATACTATCAAACCTGTATTATGGTGTAGAACAGAATTAGTACTGAAATAGAACAAAAAAAGAGGTTAGGTTTGTACTATGAAGAACTATATTTCAAACATAAAGATTGAAATAAACTTCAATGTTGCAAGTTACTAGAAAGGAAATAAGAATACAAAGAACAGGCTGGAGTCGAAGTACATATCATAACTACAAAGCTAGTTTTGAAGACAGAACATTGCTCTTGTTCACGTCAATATCTGCAAAAATAGCTACCATATACTCATATACGTAGTAGGACGAACGACTTAATGGTTAAGTTCCTTATTCTTAATTAACTTTAAAAGTAATTTTAGTGTTAATTCACAAATAAAAAAATTATATACGTAAAAACCACGACTAGAAAAAAATAACTGTGTTTGAAATCGAAGAGAAAATACGAAACAAATTAAATTTTAACCTCACTGTAGACGATGTGGTGACAATTAAAAAAGAAAACAAAAATTATTGATGAAACAGATCTAGTCCCGGAGAAGACAACCACTTACTAATCTAAGATCAAATACTACAAGTTTCTTTATATAGCAAAATAGCTGTGGTTTTAATCCATACTTAAGCGGATACAATGACTATATTTCTTTTCTTCATCCGATGTGAAGTTATACTTTCCAACCGAGTGCTGTGACCCAAAAAACAGTAAAAGTGTTTGGTAGAAGCCACTTTCTCCGAAAACGGAAACTATATACTCAGAAACTATATTATAGATTTAATTGGTACCGGCGGACTTCTTTGGAACTTCAATTGCGCTGATTATCGTTGCATTTTACTGGTATGTGTATTAAGAGCACCGTGGTGTTAAGCCTTAATAGTAGGTAATCACGTTAATAAACTATGAATTCTGCTTTCGTAAATTTGGAAGCAATAAAATATTATATCATTAGTCTGAAACCTGAAAAATTGATGGAAGTTAAAGTGGGTTCTGTTGTAGTTTATATATACTTCGATGTTACTTTAAATACATAATATATATTTTTACATGCTTTAGAAAGACAAAAAAATATCTGATCATTTACACGTCAAACACTAATTTTAGTTTGACAGTGTAAAATAGGTATGTTTACATTATAATGTAAAATATGTAGTGATAAGGTATCTTCCTCTTTGCTTGATAAAACGGCAGTAAGTGTATAAACACCTTGCAGATTAGTGTCTGTGACTAGTTAGCTGATTCACTGAAGCAAGAACTCCGTTGAGTTATGATAATGAATTTTTCAAGTGATTTTACAGAATTATAGTTTGAAACTCAGAATATCTTCCTAAGAGAATATATATTGCATCTCTTTACTAGGAGTGCAGCTCTAGATTGGTATGAGCATCCATGGAATCAAACAACTGCAGCGCTCTGTTTTTATTGTGTTTTTGCACACTCTGGACTCTCAAGTCTTTATGTATAACTGTATTTCTGATATACCATTGAGATTTTAGCATTCGTCTCAATATAATATTCTGATAATATCACTTATAACAAAAATAATGACAGTAGCAGTATTAAGGTCCTAACTGTAATAATTTATCATAAATTTTAGGGAGTGAACGAGTATCAGATACTTATTCAACCAAAACTTCAAACAAAAAGTAAATCTGATATAATTACTTTGTTCCTTTATCTACTAATTAACGTCCACCTTAAAAGATTCAATTCGTTTTAAAGGTTTTTCTGATGGAAAAAAACTACTTCACTTTCAATTCTGCTAGACGCATCCATTCATTAGTAATAGTAATAGTAATGCAGTAATCTATTGACAAGAAACCGAATCTGTGTGAGTATCGCCTGAAACTTAGTTAATGAGCCAAAAAACGCGGCTGCGGCACCAAATTCGATTGGCGAGGTTGCCTAAAAAGATACCGCACTGTCATTTCAATGAAAGCCAAGTGAAATTTCGCGATTACGTCCTGAGCAGCAATGACAGGCATTGAAGTGCAAGACTTTAGCACAAACAAAACCAATAGCGAAATCAAGCAACCGATACGGACATAAAAGCTAATGTCTGCAACTCTAAACTCGCACACAATCGCACATTATACTTACATATATATAGTAAGTATAGTATGTATGATTGCATTTGCGATGCTGGTACGAGGTGTTCAGTCGTATAAATTTGTGATTTGCCTTTCCAGCAAAATCCACTTGGACTAAAACTTTGTCTATAGTCGCCGCAAGGGGCGTCAAGTCTTTGGGTTTGAGTTCAATTGCTCTGCTGCATATGGCACTTGTATGCAAATCGTAGCTTAAACCAGCAATGGACTACAACAAAATCAAACGAGTTAGCCTGTTAGGCTATACGGAACCCTTCCCTCCGTCAACTTGACTTAACAACGAAAACATAAAGCTTTAGTTGCTGACAAACACATACGCAGCATTAAACCAAACGCGAAATTCTTATGAGCTATGAGCTACAACAGCAACAGCAGCAACAGCAGCAATAGCAGCAGCAATAATAACAACAACAAAACCATTGCTAGCATTAGAAAGCAACATAAGGGAGCAGTGGAGAGTAGAATATGTCCTGTACGACATGCATACATGAAGACCAGCATCAGTTACAGCAGTGCGGCAACGATGCCGAAACTTAAATGTTTGCAACATCCAGCAGTTCAGAAATCAGCATGCCTTACATACCATCCCCTACTCTTCAGCATTTCTCTCCATAGCCTACGCCAATGCCAATGCCATTTGTACAGTTTCGCGTTTAATGTTTCGCGCCACGTTAGCTGTCCATCACGAGGCTCTCTAAGCTTGATGACTGAAGCTAAAAACCTTAAAGCAAAAATTTACCGCCCGAGACATAAAAAATGCTGCTTGCACTTTCCCCCACCGAAACCGCCGTATCGACATCCTGCATCCTGCACACATACTCCAAACTGAATGCTCCCTCACTGCAACAATGTGGCACAAAATCCTTTAACAACTCCAAAGTCGCAATCGCCGTAACCAGCATCGTTAGCATCACACGTTTGCATTTCGAATACTGCATGCAGAAGGCAGAAGGCAGCAGGCAGCAGGCGCCCGGTCGACCCGTCACACCGTGCGCCTGTCAGTTCGTCAGCGTCTCATCAACAATTCAGAAGGGGGCCTTTTTTGCATTCACAAAACAACGCGTTATTGTGCGTTATTGGTTGGGCCGTTCTAGCTCTAAACTTTGTTGCGCGCCATCAACTTAAACCCCAAACTATATTATACGCCAGACCATGGATCACTCTACTCACTTGTGAACTGCGAATAGAAGTTTGTATCCTTCAGTACGTATATGTATTGCAGATAGATTTTGCAGCTGCAGTATTCACCGATGAAGCAGCAAAAAACGGGCACACATTTGTGTTGTTTTTATTGTTGTTGTTGTTGCTTATTTTTAGCAAACATTCACTGCCTGCCGCGTTGCAGTCTTCCACTTCTTCTTCTTGTCTTTGTTATATTATTTTGCGTATTCCAGTGCAGATACCGGGTATGCGCCCTCAAAAGTGGGGGAGTTTTTGAAGTAGATTTAAATCGCATATCTGCAGCGTCTCTTATATTAAAGGCTCTCATCTCCATTCTATGTCCGCATGTTCGCATGTGTATTTGCTGTGCTGCTAATACGCCGTTTGGTCACCTTCATCCACTTCAAACCACACAATCATATGTATGTTTCGATTTGCATACACTTCACCTCTGCCACTGCCACTCCCGTTGCTGATGCTGATGCTGATGCTCTTCGTGCCACTGCCATTGGCATAGTCCTGCATGCGTTTTTGCTCCCCAAGTACGTGGCTGCTTTTCTCGTCATCAGCACCAGTGCCATTACCATCGAAATTGTGGTCGTTGGTCATCAGTTTTTCGTCTCATCGTCATCGTCACCCGCTAATACATAAATTTTCGTACATAATACGCGCCTAGCGCCGTTTGAATTTCTGAAAATTTTGTTTCTATTTTTGTCAGCAAACGACAAAAATTTTTTCTCCTGAAATACGAGAATATCCGTTAAGTTGCATAGGCTTTGGAAGTCGCAAGAGAACAGTGGAACACAAAATTCAAATTTTTGAATACCTTTAAAAATGATAATCAATATATAGAAATAGAAAAGTGAAAGAGGTGTCTATTGAAATAAAATGATATAGATGTGAAAGAATATCCTTAATTAAGACTAACCATTGAAGAAATGTGGAGGACTAAATTAAGAGCCTGAAGGTATGAAGCTAAA